AGTAGTAGTAGTAGTAGTAGTAGTAGTAGTAGTAGTAGTAGTAGTAGTGCACTGCTTATTTTAGGGTTTATCTTTTAATTTAGGACTTGAAAGAACGTCAGTGGAACTGATCAGGTTGTGTGTTCTACATGGATAATTAGAATGTGCAAGTCTTTAAGCCATTTCTAATGTTTCATTTTTCCTGCCATATAAATCTGGCAGAATTGGACAAATTTATTTTAACTTCTTTAAGATCTTAGAAATATTTCATACTTATGAAAAAAAGGAGAAAAAGGTTCAAGATGTCTTCATTTCATTGCATCTTTCCTCCTCTATCTGTGTCATACACACACCATAATTATTTTTATTATTAGTTCAACCATCTGTAATAGGAACAAAGTAACATTTTATGTATCTTTTCCATATTTCCCTCTGCTTCTCTTTGTCGTGCTTTAAAAATAGCTCAGAAATATTAACAGTAATCCAAATAGACGCATCTCTGTGGAGGAAGTGAGTGGTCCATCTTTACAGATCGACCATTTTCTCTGCTGAACTTTGTCGCCTACATGCAGCACACAGGAGTGACTGAACTAACACATTCCACCAGCTCTGAGTGGTGCTACATTTCTACATAGTGCCAAACAAAAGTGATGGGGGCCACTTGTCAGCACATTTTTTTAAAAGTCCCTAAGAGATAAAGAGCAACTTTGCAGTCTCACTAATGTACAGTAAATGTGATGGTAGGTTGAATTGTTGAGTTATGCAAGGCTTTCAGCCCTTTATGATAGTGTGAAACTCAGGACTGTTGCATAACAGACTTACCCTCCTCGCTTTTTTAATGTGGGCCCAGAGATAGTTTCACTGGCCTTGGTCCATTTATATCCATGTCCTTTAACCTTCCCCAGCAGTAGTACAGTGATTAATTCACCTCTTCAGTAACTGTGAGAGCCTTTTTTCTGTGTAGTGTAAAATATGCCATTATTCACCAATGAAAGCTTTAAACCTTCCTGAAAATACTATTTTTGTAATTCTTTTTTTTTCCTTCTTCATTTTTTGGGTGCCACACAATGAAATACTGTTTATCCCATTTTTCTTTAATTTAAGTTTGCACAATGACGCAGCTGGTAAGCACTGTAGCCTCACAGCAAGAATAACAGATATTTATCTTTATGAAGTTATTATACTCTCTTTATTTGTGCACATTAGGTAACGGATTTGGAATCCTGGTCCTGGAGGGCCTTTGTCCTGCATGTTTTACCTGTTTCTCTGCTCCAACACACCTGATTCTGATTAAATCACCTTTTCAGGTTCTACACATTCATTCCAACCAGGTGTGTTGGAGCAGAGAAACAGGTAAAACATGCAGGATAGCGGCCCTCCAGGACCTGGATTGCCCACCCCTGGGTTAACGGGTGGATCGAAATTGCATTTGGAGGTGAATGTGTGCTTGAATTGTGTGTTTTTGTGTGACATGTCTAGGGTGTCATCCATCTCTCATCCATGTGACTTTTCTGTGGTTTCTGTGGTGTAATGTAAYCCTGTCTTTTTGGCTTCCTGTGGGGTTTTGTTTTCTGTGTTTTTTTTACCAATTTAGACAGATTTGCATATTATCATGTCCCGAGTCATTGTTACTTAGTTTCCACTGTAACACAACACCTGTTGTTCAGCTCCTCAATAACTCATTAACCCACTTATTCTCACTCATCAATCATCCAGCCCGGTCCATATGAGCTATATAATATACAGTATCTATTAATCTTTCTTTAACCAGGCAAAATCCATTGAGAGCACAGATCTCTTTTGCAAAGTTGGCTTGGGCTTTAAAGCAACCAAACCAATGTTTTTGGTCAGTGGGAGGAAACAAGAGTACCTAAAGGAAACCCATACAAACACAAGGAGAACCTGCAATCTCAACACAGAAAGACCCTAGTGTTTGAACTGGGGATGAAACCCAGGACCTTCTTGCTGTCAGACACCAGTGCTGACTATTAATACTGTTGTACTGCCAGTTCATGACCATCACTGTCAGGTCCTCCTATGTTTTCTGATTGCACTGCATTTGGTTTAATCTTGCCAACTGTCTGCACATGTGGGACCACCTCTCCAAACCACCACAGCCTTCTCACCTTCAGGCTATTAAACCATGTCCGAACAGCTTTTTGAACTGAAAAATCAAATCTGACCTCATGCTTCTCTGCTTTCTTTGCATCTTCTGGTTTTTATACAGGAGGAACATTTCTGGTTTAGCTCTTGTGTCAGTGACAGACAAACAAAAAGTGTGAGAAAAGATTAGAAGTTCTGAACTGTCAGGCTGCGACAATCAGGTTTYAAGATCCTGCTTCTGTCAGTCATCAGTCATTGGGAGGATCACCTATAAAACAACCTTAAATCACCTAGAGAGACATTTTAATTACACCAGTTTCATCATGTCAGAGCCTCAGCAGTGAAAAACAGAATAAAAAAGATAAATATCTACATTTTTGTTTATTATTAGAACTGTTATAAGCAAACATCAGGTCGAGAGCTTTTTGACAGTGATCAGAAATTTTTAACCCCAGGAGCCCTGAAAATGCTCTGTCTTTTTCTTCTACAACAGGGGGTGTTTCCAATGACAAACAGGAGTTTCACACAGAATTTATATTTAGAGTAATTACTCCCATTTTTGCAGCTTAACAGTAAAAGTCAGAACATTCATAGTGATAAATTTTGTGGAGTTATTCGTCATAAAGGTTAAAGCTGGATTGGATTTTTAAAGTGTGCAGCAGACAGGTCTAAATGTTACACAGCATCCTGTTCAGCTGTATCAGCTGTGAGTCTGAAACTTATTGATTTATGATTATAATGTGCAGTTGTAATGCTCAGTGTTATTAGAGAGTACTTAAAGCTAAAGTGTCCCAGTTTTCAGTGTCTTAGAGCAATTAGGGTTAGGACTAACGTGTGAACTGAGTTCAGGCCAGTGTTGTATACCGCAAAAGTGATACTTGAGTAAAAGTACAAGTATCTTATCATGAAATTACTTTGGTACAATAAAGTCTTCTCCAAGAATATTACTTGAGTAAAAGTCTTAAAGTATCTGATTTTTTTTTGTACTTAAGTATCAAAAGTAAATTTCCGACATAAAAAGTACTCAAGTATTAAAAGTAAAATTATTGAGTATAAAAGAGCGGTTAGGTTTTCCAAAATGACATTTATTGGGAGGTGACCTCTCCAAAAATACATTTTTTTCTAAAGGTGTGCAGCTGTGATGGGTTGTGTACAATTTGGTGTCAGAATGGTATAAATTTATACTTCTCATCCAACTACAATTAGATTCACACTTTCCAGGAGGCACAATTTATCAGGATAATATTTGTTTAACAATAATGAGCTGAAGTGAATCAGGAATAACAACTTTCTACTTCTTACCTTGTTTAAAAATGTAAGGAGTAGAAAGTACAGATAGTTGTGTGAAAATGTTAGGAGTAAAAGTAAAAAGTAGGCTGAAAAATAATTACTCAAGTTAAGTACAAACAACCAAAATTTCTACTTAAGTACAGTAACAAAGTATTTGCACTTAGTTACTTTACAGCTCTGGTTCAGGCTAGATTTAGGGTCAGCCTGGTGTGGTAAGGTTTGGGGTCAGGGGTCAGGGTTAGGCTAGAAATGACCAGTAAATGAATGGAAGTCAATGAGGAAAGAACAAGGATAGAAAAACAAATGTGTGCGCTTTGATTAATGAGCTTTACAAACACTGTGCTAACCAACAAGAACATAATTAGAATAATTTCATCTCTATTTAATTTCATTTTACAAAAACAATTTAAAAAAAGACTCTTGCAAACATATGGCTTTTTATTTAATTGGAATGAATATTGTATCATTAATTCAAAAGAAACAAACACTTATCAACAAGTTTTAACTTTTGCTCTTTCGCTCTTATTTTTTTTAACAAATCTAAACAATAAACAAATGACATTTTAATGTGACACCTTGGATTTAAATACAGAATGAGAAAATAAAAAAGAAAACAGAGCAAAACCAGAACAATAAACCACAGTGAAATCATCAGGAATGTACAGCACACTGCTTGTTTTTGAAATTAACAAACAATAAATCAACATAAAAAGAACAAATGTAATGTTAGCAATGAAAATATCCTATTTAATACAGTAAATTTTTGGCTTCTTTTTTAAACAATGAGTTTATTAACAGAATATACAGTTTATTATCCAGTTTGTTTAGCAGTCCTGTGTTTCAGGGTTGCTCATGTGTGGGGCTGCTATGATCAAAACGCTCCCCCCTCAACCATGAACTGTATCAGTGTTTGACTCATTCACAGTACATGCTTCTAGCATCCAGACACGACTTCTTTCTGCTGATTGTCCCGTCAGTCGGCTTACTTCAAAACAGAATAATATGAAAACAGCGCCTCATTTAAACATTGTCCAATGAGCGAATTTCTTTAAAAACATGCAACCAAAGTCCAGTTCTTTTTTTTTTTTTTTTTTKYTGCTGCTTTAGCAAAATTAATAAGATTTTAGCTTTGAAAAAAGAAAAAGAAATGAGCAAAGACACAGTGAGCCCCTTAATACTGCATATCCCTCACAATGTATAAAGGGGAAGCTATACATTTTAAACTGAGAAAAAAAATCTTTGGTCAACATTGGTAGTATTTAACAGAACAGTAACAGACCGCTCATTTAACACCTTACAATAACTTATTGGTCAAACTCACGACACTGTAGCCTTTTAACGAGGAGTCTTACTGAAATCCACCGACTGAATGAATAAACTGACATTTGTAGGAGTTACTTCACGACTGCTTTAAATTGTTCTTGCATAATAAAGTCTCATAATTTAACTCTTACTAGGACAACAACAACAAAAATAGATTTGAACCGGCAGAATCAGAAAAAACAATTGCAAAAAAAAAGAAAGCCACTTTACAACAAGACTCGTTTACTTACAGTAAAAAGTAAACACACATGTATTGATGACATTAATAATTATATGCATTGACTGATTTAGTGGTAATGCGTCAAAACTGACAGATGATTGCAGAAAAGAACAACTCAGTTAGCATTTGATGCAACTAATTGGTTCTAGACTGTTTTAACTTTTTTCTTGTCTTTTTTGTTTCTTTTTTATTTTCCTGAAAATATCAAAATTGGATGGAATGTGGTATTATTTCATAAAAGTGCCAATTGGCAGGCTTTCACTTTGTGATTCCAAAAGAAAAGAAAAGGATGAAAAATGCATTGGCGTTTGAAATCAACATCTTTACTCTTGGTCCATCGTGGTACCTGAGTTAACGGAGAGGTTCCGGTGTAAGTTGGGGTTCTGACTGTGCCGGTTTCTGCTTCTCACAGAGGAGAAGGACGTGTCGCAGCCGGGGACCTTACACTTGTGGAGCAGACGCAGGTGAACAGTCTTGTAATGTGCCCTAAATGTTCCCTTGTTGCTGTACACCTTTTGGCAGACGTGACATGTAATCGGAGATCCGCCTCCACTTCCCTGGAGCCCACCGTGTCCGACCCCACCACAGCCCAGGTTCCTGTCCTCCAGATCCTCAGCCCCTGGCATCAACGTACCGACTCCATCACAGCTTTCATCGCTGTCCTCGATGGGAAGCACCTCCTCAATGTCATCAGCTGCCTCCCTGTCCTCGCTGCCAGCTCCATCAGAGTCCCAGGACGACTGAGAGCGGCGGCCGTCACGCTGCGGACCAGACGTCGAAGTGCTCAGGTCCAGCACGGTCCCATCGTTCCTACTTGCACCACCGTCTCCTCCTTCAAGATCCTCAGGTTCCGGTGTGGGAGACACCTCAGCACTGCTCGGAGCAGCAGGGGTTTTGCTCATGGGAAACACCAGGCCCATTCGATTGTGTCCTCGGAAAATGACAGAAGTATGATTGGTCTGGTCTCGATGGGGAGAGTCTTTGTCTCGTTGGTCTTGGTCTGGGACCACAGAGTCTCTGTCTATGCAATGTGATGAGGGGGAGCAGAGGGCGGTGGCTGGAGTGAGTGAGTCTTTGGTCAACAGCTTGTTGTGCAGGTTTAGATTTGCACTATGTCTGTAAAAAAAGAATAAAAACACAGTCTTACTATATTTTACCAAACACTAGAAACATTATGCTCCATTAGTGAAAACTCAGTGCAGCTGTGGGTAAATAACTATTTTCTTGTAGTGTAGCTGCTTATAACTTTCAGCTTTATGAGAACAAGGCAGAATATACTGTACTCCTGGTTGTAAATACATAAAGTGCTCAATTTTTACAATAAATGCTTAGTGTGACTCCAAATTAGGGATACGTTTCTGCCTATTTAAAATAACTTCAATCTCAACAGCTTAACAGCAGTTCCAATAAATGCTTTAATTGCAGTGGTGGGCACACTTCCACTCATCCACTATTAGCAGAACTAACATGTTGCTGAGCATGTTTAGCATTTGCATTAACTTTATAAAAGTTTATCGTACTTAACTTTTGCTAGATTTTTTTTATTTTTGCTCCAAATCTGCACATCTATCTGGCTGTTTGTGTTGTAAACTTTCAGTTCAATAAAGTTTATCAACAAATAAATAAATTGACAGCCGGAAGATGGCTTACTACATGTCACATGGCAAGATTTGATCAATAAAGCTTTGTGTAATTCGGAAGTTTTCTAATCTGTTCTGTTCCCGTTTATTTATGAAGATTTGAAGTTGTCGATATGTTAGGTGAAAGCAGTGTTTCGGTTCAGCCCGCGGATGAACCCCGTGTAGAGGACTCAATGACTGAAGGTGAGGCAGAGTTCGCTGAAGTTGAGAGCCTGGAGTCCCACACATGGCCCAGTCTGGAGGAATGTTTTGTGTTTGAGTCGAGGGATGAGGCCAATGAAAACACTCAGTACCTTCAGTGTGTTATGTGCCAGTCCAAGAAGACCACTATCACGGGACAAGCGTGTTTGTCCACAACATGCTACCACTGCATGTGGTGGAGCCCCCACCTTTGTTGACCTGATCAAGACACTGAACTCCAGCAAGATGTTTAAGTCCCACTGCACCCTGGGCAGGAGGATCTTGGCCAGTCATGAACAGCTGGAAGAGTGTATTATGAAATATGTGTTGCACAGGTTTATAAAAGTTTTAGAATGGTTTAATATTTTTTATTTAATCTCTTAAGCCCCATGGTCCCAACAGCAGGGGTGGAATTGCACTTTTTTTTAACCTTCATTAACCTAAGTTCTCTTAGTTAAACACAGACACATGTGGTATCTAAAGAAATGTCAGAATCTTGGCTAAAAACTCAAAAAAACATTTCTATGTCCAGCAGACACAGCACAAACTTAAAAAACCTTGGGGCTTAAGATGTTAATTTAATCATTAATAAATGATACCTAATGTACTTTAAATATTTGTCATCTACTCTATTTTTTTCCGCACGTGGATAAGTCTGAACAGCCAAAACAGCAACTTTAATAACAAATAAATTGACCATAAGTTCTCAAATTATCACCATCGTTCCATCATTCAGTTCCATCTGAGTTATTCATTAGCACAGGTTTACAATCATTATATCCTACACCTTGATCATCACTTGAGCTTGGCATGTTATACTGTTTTGTGGAAATAAAAATAAAACTAAGAAAAAAAGTTTCATTGTAAGTGTAAGTATCCACAGAATTTTTTTTTCACAGAAAATAAACATTGAGCTGTTTAACTTGCCACAACTTCATTTGCATGTCTGAATAACCACATCTTTATTTCTAAGTAAAATAATTGGAAATGCCAGTTTGATTTTTTAGCTGTGGTATTTTTTGAAATTCAAACTTTACAAAACTCTAGTAAAAGCTTCACAATTTACTCCAGTTTTCATTTTAAAAGCTTTACTATTATTTTCACACAATGCGTTAACGACTCTTACAAAAGAAGATTAGGGCAAACAAAAACATGTTTCTTTTCCTGAGTTCTGACTTCTTATTCGTCAGAGATCTGAGATTAAAATCAGAACTCAGAAAAAAAAACTTTTTTCGGCTGTGTGGTTTTGATTCTCTTCCATATGTTCCAACTGGAAATTGTGGTTTTTTCAAATTTTATTTAATTTTTTTTATGCTTTGCACAGAGTGACATGCTACAAAAACAGGGTTTTAAGCTCCAGTCTTTATAAATAT